CTTGGTCGCCTTACTCTCTTTCTAGAGTGATGACCATGGATTTGTAATGACCAGCGCCGGACAGCGGAACCTTTGCATATTGTAGCACAAGAGCGATTTGACGAATGCTCCCAGAAAGAAACGGAAGGATCCAGTTGTTGGTAGTTTAATGATGCATATAAAGCTTAACTGAACGAAAAGTCCCATGAAAGTTGTTCGATTATATAATTCAAATTACTTATTTATGTGTGAAATCCTTATAATTTGGACGATTGGCAACGACACGAGGAGATACACTTGATTTAAACAATGGATATTAATCTTTCTTAAGGATTCTTCACTAATGTAAAGGATCCTCAGGAAAGGTTAATTTTTTCTTGTGGAACGCGGTCCAAAAGTGACAGGTTAAAGGTTTAAAGATGTCACTGTGGGAAGCATTTGGGCTTTATACAGAGCGAGATGTTTAAAGGATGTCATATTATGTTCCTAGTGGAAAAAATGAAAATGAAAACCCATCAATATGAAGTGAGCAAAATACGCATGAATAGAACGATGTACCCGGTAGTACTGTTAATGAAGGTGCGCAGGTGTGTGGCATATAGTGAAGCACTCCATGACAATCGATCAGGAGTGATGGTTAGATAGAAATCGAGTGGTGCCTTACAAGAAACAAATATTAATAAATTTTAAAGTATGAACTAACATATCGTCGTTGGTGAGAAAGAAAATGGTTATAATTTATTGAGATTGTCTTAAGATCATCCATCAAAACGAACTGGGTCTGGACGATCATGAAAGAATAATCGTATTTTAGATATAATATTCAAGGTGGATTCCAATTTGACAATTCTTTTCAGGAGCCCTTACTGTCAAATTTTTTGTGGTACTGCGAAATGTAGTGTTTAAGGACAAGCACATACGTGAGGCAAAATTTGAAATTCACTGTTTCCAGTCCATGTTTTTCACCTGATTAGGTCTCAGTTGGCAATTTCGCAAGTTGCACATTTACTCAACCGGGTTTTGACAAAACTGACATATGGTTTCTCTTGATTTCTTTATTCTGCGTTATATTTGACACCAACGTGGGTTCTGCCAAATTATTGCGACATGCAATAGTTTGTGCTGAATGATAATAGAACGTATTTTTATTTGCATAGTTTAACAAGATTTATTCTGGTCATGAAATCAATTAAATGAACAATGAGTAAAGAAGACATCAATGCTTTGATGTACATTATTTGACACAAAGTATGCTGGAGTGAATAAACAACGTCATCGAGACACCTGTAAATGGAGGAGACAAAATTGTCACTCCTGCAATTATAGTTGATGTTATAATAATTACCTTTAACTTCTCAGGCCACATTGATCAACGTAGAAAGGCACAAAAGGAAGAGAAGATGGTATCTTAAAACAAACGGGGTTCTTCTAAAAAGTGGTAATGAAAAACAGATTAAAATGTGTAATATGCTTGGGTCCGTGGGTTCAGCAGGATATCCCCCCGTGAAAGATAGACTGACGACCGAATGTGGACAGAGTCTCGGTTTCGGGCTGAAACTGTTGATGAATAGGACGTTCTCCATGGAGAGAGTTGGATGATACTCTGCAACAAAGGAGTTATAAGCACCATGAATCAAATGGTGCACGGAAACATGAACACAACTCACACTCAAACGAAATGACAGGTTGCCAAGGTCGTTACAAACGGCGTGCAGTATGCAAATATTAAACTGAGGCACTATACGTTTAAAAAACACTGGGATACTGCGAGTATAGATGTGCAGAAGTTTTAAGTTGTCTGGATTATTCAATCGCAAAAATCGAAACGATGAGACTACTGAGAGCTACGATGTAGAGGGCAGCCTATTGAAGCAAACATAGAAGGGGATAATGGTCACGAAAGATCAAGTGTTGCCAAACAGAGGGCTGTCTTGTTTACTTGTTTTCACTTGGATCGTCAACGTATTGAGAAGATATTAATCGTGTGAATATTTTGCGAGTATATGTGAGTTCACTTCTTTTACCTTGTCCAGCTGTGACAAATGGATTTTCACAGTGTCCGAAAACCTGTTTACTATGACTGAACAACTACTGCGGAATATAAGTGCAATACCTACAAACATGACCAGAAAAAGTATTGCCGAATTTATTCTTCTCTTCCTAGAGAGGTATTTTCCGATAAGCAGAACAAATATGGAAAGTCATGTAACTGTTTGTGCACTCACGACAGGCTTGAGAAAGAGTAGACCCCAATCACAGTATAATCAACCGTCAAAATGCACCAACAGAGCAAACAAGTGAATAACTTTGTCACTTCGCTAATTTGCTCCTTCTGATTTACTACTTTTTTTAACAATCAGCGTACCATGCTTGTCAAATTGTCGGAGAACAGTTTGATTGATGATTCAATAGCACTCGCTCCAGCTTACGATGCCGATTTGGGTACAAACGGGATTGTGCGGTACACCCTGACCCCGGTTGTACCCGAATTCACACTGAAATGGCTTGTGGATATGATGGAATTCGGAGACCGCTTAGACACTGCGTTTTCGAGCGGGAGTAATTCGAGAAATCCAATAGCTGGAGAGAACACCGAGGACGAAATGGATCCAACTACCAAATCTCAGTCACCGGCGGCTGCATTTCTTGAGCCACCGGACTACACTACTGGTCAAAGACACGAGTTACGTCTTGTGGTGAAAAAGTCCTTGGATCGTGAAACCCAAGCGGCCTACGATTTCACACTGACGGCCTATGATGGAGGTTCACCGGCACGGAATGCATCTGTTCCCCTCCGGGTGCTAATCACGGATGCCAATGACAATTCACCAAAATTCCAGAAGGACACGTATGTGGTCGAGTTGAGAGAGAATGCACGACCACATACACCGGTAATCCAGGTGAGATTGGGCTAACTTTAGTGTACGTAGAGTGTTTCCTTTTCAAATTTGCCAAAGTAACCTTGAATTGAAACCGAAAAATGGCTACTGTGGATTGGAAATCTCCTCCGGTTTTCACGGATTAAAAAAATTGTATCGTGATTAAAGTTTACCTGTCTTGGTCGCCCGATGCATATACTATCCTAACGGCAATCGTTGTAGTAATGAAGATTCATTTTCAAAGCGATCATTAAGTTAATACTATTCACGACGTTTTATTTGTTATCAGGCAAATTAACAACTAAGTGATCATTTCGTCTGCTTTTGATTGTTCTTGGTAATAAAGATTGATGTAGACCAGCTGATAATAAAATAAGTAGATTATATGACTGAACGTCATCCATGTAAGTTATCTTGAATGAAATAGAATATGCTTAAGTGCTCAGAGTGGTATCCAAATCACATGTTGAAAGAAACAGATGTATGATAAATTATAAACAAATACGAACTATAACGCAATGACCTAGTGCGTGTACGTTGGGATATAGTCAACAGATACAGCGGCTTGAACAACTAATAAATCAGCAAGTTTAATCATGAAGAATGTTGCACATTCGAATGTTAAACTAATTTTCCGGATGAATCAATGAGGCAGGAACTAGAAGATTTAGATGACGACGATCGTGCGGATGCACATGACCTGCCAAGCGATGTGAGGGTCACTCAAAATACTTGATCATGGTAAGCGTTTCTTTTGTTTGAGTATTCAAATGCTGTAGCATTACAAAATAGTACCGGTACGTGCGACACGTTACAAGGCCAAGGGTTATTTCTAGTGCCGTCTGCTTTTATTGTCAAGGAGAATTTCACGCATACTCGTTTAAAATATTGATACCGAATTCAGAATGGATGCGGTCGGCATGATCGCTTTCGAATAACTGATGCAAACCAGTAGGGTTCTTTACAAGGAACTCATCAGTTGTTTACGGAAACGCGAATGATGTCAAGAGTATGTAAAGCGTTTTGAGAAGTCTACTCAGGTCTAATAACTGAAAGTTCTCGGTCATTTACTAACTACTAAATCTACACACATATTAAAGCTGACAGGATGGCTCCTCGTGGTGATCCACACCAGACACCTGTCTTTCTGACATGCTTATTTGGATTACTAATTAATAAATCTCATTCAAACATAGAACGTCACGCGTTCATTAGTATAGTTATTGTGTGGAATTAAATGGCATGCATCCTGGTAAACTGCTACTTCAGTCGTCACTAACAATGCTAATTCAACTAACATCTCGTTTGCCAGAACTGAAATAACAACATTGGTCATGCTTGTACAATTACTTCAGTTAGTTCATTTTTCCCTACTAATCTCTGTGCAATGAACAACCGAAGACGTAAATTTCACTGTCACCGAGATCTAGATTTCATTCAAAATAACTGGCCGCTTAATCCCTAGAACTGAGATTGATGAAAATCATACGTGTCAACAAGGATGTGTAACATTCAGTCAGATGATAATAAAGCTGCCTACTACCGTATTTGGCGTTGGTTATGGCAGGGTTCAAACCACTGAACTTTGAACCCTAGGCACATAGTTGCCGGAGGCATAAACCGTGATTGTTTCAAGATAAGTGATTTTTTAATAGCCACTCAAAATAAATATATCTGAAGGGGACTTTTTACCTGCAGGCTTGAAGCAGATGGGGGTAAAATTGTGTCCATTGAACTCTAGCCTACCGTTGTGGTTGCAACGAAGAATGAGACTGTGATTTGTTGGTCTCTTCATTCACTTAATAGCTATTTACGATAACCAAACAATTATAAATCTGCATGGGTCCATGTTCCCAAACTCAGGTGGAATGAAATGATTCATTTTTTTCTTAATTTTAATTGCTGATCTGGCAGCCAACATATGAAATGTAAACATTTTAACTTACTGTCATGGGAATACATGTACCTAATGACCCAGTTAAATACATTTATGGTTATCATACACCAGGTTAAGGTTCAAATTGTTAGTAATTTTCTATATTGGACCTAGAATCAGAATGATATTGGGATACAAGCGTTTTGATCCCAGAGAAAAATTACTAAAGGAGAAATGATTAGCTCACCTCAGAGACCAAGATCTGCATTCATGAAAATGACGCATGCAATCTTCATCAATGAAACTGACTCTAGAATGAATGATGCCAACATTCGGTTGTTAATTTTCTAAGCACTTTTTTTCCCGAAGGCAATTGTTCCTAGGACTATCGTAATTTCAGTTAAGGTGCCTGTCAAACAGATGCAAACTGTAGGGACAGTTCCAAGGTTGAAGAGGTTCCCTACCATGGAGCTTTGTTTGTACACAGGAAACCATGCGCTTTTACCGTGATCCATGAGGGTAAGAATATGAGCACAAGTCGAGTACTGCATGAACTTTAGATTCAGTCACCTGTTATGTGCCCTATTGTACGGTGAAAGCCGTATAATAACATATATTTGCCCGACACCATTTTTCTTCCATAATCGAAATGTATGTTCACATTTTTACTTCAGTACCAACGCCATGTGACGTTTATTTTACACAATCGTTAACAGCTGTATCCTTCATCGAGAAGACTTTTACTTTTTGCTTTCGATCCATTTTGCACGTTGTCGGGTTAGTTGGTTTTCGTTGCCTTCGTGCTTCAACACAAACTCTCGTTAGCAGGTACCGGTACGTTCTCTGTGCCGCGGTACCTCAATACATGTCTACAACAACTAAAAGTCTTCTGGTTTAACCAGCGGTTACTTGGTTGTTTGCAAGCCCATGGTCCCGTTCTGAAGTTCGTCACGACCGGTCGTAGTCGACGTTCTTCACACTCATCCCGTTTGTGTTTTTTTACAATATAATTTGCTCGAAAGGCAGAGCGCGATTGCATGCACTGTATTTCCGTTGCAGGTTGTTGCCACTGATGCCGACGAAGGAATGAACGCGCGAATCAAATACCGGTTTAGCTCACTCACTAAACCGGAGTTTGTACGACTGTTCNTCAATGGGAAATTGACTATGAGATACACAAAAAGGTTCGTTTTGAATGAAGAGAAAATTTACCCTCCTCTTTTCATTTAACTTCATAAATCCTACTGACGTTTGACGAGAGCAATCAGGTTTTTCTGATAGAATCAGTGAAATAGCGATATATTGGATAAAACTTCACTCCCACACTTCAGCAAGCTCATACTTGAAATGTTCCAGATTCAGACTCATATAAATCCTGTTTTGCAAGAAAAAACTTAAATCAGCCTTAATAAACATCATCTGTGAATCTCCCCTAATTGACAAAAGCTCATGCAAGTACTGCTTAAACATCGCGCACTATGACACTTAATTTAGAATGATGTTTCTTTCTCTAGGGCCATAAGTGTATATAAATAGCCAAAGGTAAACTTAATCTCCAACTGAAAGATCCTAATACCCTGGTGTCCCTTATCAAATTGACCCGATCTTGGGAGTCAAGATAACATGTGCTGCAGTTCTAAGCAACATCACACGTTTCATAAATATTTGGAGCAGGATAACATGAAAGTTCAGTCTTTCTTATGAAGGCTCACAATTTGTTTGTGTTTGATAATCCATATTTTTCAATAGCATCTATTTTCGTGCCACGCAAAGGACGTAAATACATTATGAAAAATCTTGGTTTTTAATACTGAATTATTCGAAACATTTTTACAACATCTGTCATGCATGTTAATCATTTTCATCAATAAATTCTAATGATATTTTTCTACTTATTTTCGGTTAATTTACAACCTATGCTCCACCAACCGTCGTCGAATTAGAGAAACCGTACGATTCTAAGGCGTTCGACTACAAGAAGTATGGTAATACGTCGATAGAAAAGTGATGTGTAGCGTAGGGTAATACCATGCAGCTTCCTTTGCTTGTGGCTTGAAATTGAGATGAAGAAGTTTGGGAAAGTCGTGATATGGTGCGAGTTAGTTCATGTAGGCTCACATATCAATGTTTTAATGATTCTTTCTATCTTTACCTATGAGATCTATTTGGACGGTGATTGAATCTCCTGTGCTGAAGTAAACCCTCATGCTCTTGTATACAGGACGTCATAACTACCTCATTACCCCCGAATAATAAACGCCATTCAGTCCGACGTATTTGTCACTACATACATCATCTTTAGCATTAATAGAGAAAAAGCATTTTTCAACTGGGAATTGGAAAAACATGAGAGATAAGGAACTCTGGCATAAAACAATCTATATTTTAATCTGGAATGTTGATAGTCAATAGTCCTGGTAAAACTAAGCAAGAGCATTCTGGCTCACCATCCTTTCAGTATAGAAAATCCAACGAAAACGTTGAGTTGGAGAAGGGGCTTAGTTTTTCGCTAATGTAAACTGGAACTAACATAGAAGTAAAACCGAATTTAATCACTTATGTTCTGTCCGTCCACTCGAAAAAAACGAATACATTTGCTATCGAATGCAGTTCACGATGCTTATTTGCATATACATTAAAACAAATGCTTGGAACACCAGCGTCAGGTCAAAAAACATGGAACCACGGTTCATTCATTAACACTGAGTTCGTTTATGTCGGTGTGAGTGATGGTTCGCTGCCCGGATGTAGTTTACACTAAGAAGATATTCCAGAAGTTTCAGCCGGAAGATTTTTAATTTCTCATGGCCATTTCTTATATGGTAATGGTAATTTTACCGTAGTACCATGGCAGGTTCCAATGATGTCATCGGAGTGATAGAGAGAGAGTGAGCAGTTTCCGAAAGCTATGTGTGTGACTCTGGATGGGAGTGTGTGAAAAGCTATAAAACCCGGTCCGTGTACGCTCACATTTTGATACGTGTTGAAGCATGAGGTTTCTTACTGTCATAATTATACCATCTGTTGTCCAATTAGACCTTTTAACAAAGCTCCCAATGTTTTTCAAAATACTTCTTTTTGAATCTGAAAACCTTTTTATGTTTTCATTATTATGCCGCGCAGATCATTCTTACCGTGGAAGCCGTGGATAGCGGTACTCTTCCACGAGCATCCACCTGCATTGTAGAGATTCTCGTGCGCGACGAGAATGATCATTCGCCGGAAATTCGGTTCGAACCAGCTCACCTTACGAATTACGCTCTTGTACCGGAGAATGAGAAACCCGGACGTCTGGTAGCTGTATTCACCGCAACGGACCAAGACAGCGGGGAGAACGGTCGTGTGGCTTGTCAACTAACTGAACCACACAAATGGCGTTTTGACACCGCCGATCAGAGTCGAGTGGATGCAATGTTATCCAACCCGTTGAACAGTCTGTTTAAATTGCAACAGATGCATGTGCCATTTTCCGTCATGTAAGTTGACAATTGACAATCTTAGGGCAGAATGGAGGGATTGCGCCCAACAACCTCTTGCATAAAGTGTTTCCTCCGAAAATAATCACGGTGGATCTTTCAACGGTACGATTAAAGCAGGCTGAAATTTGATGTGAAGGTAAAAGTTTGTCACATCTTGCTTCAATGCAGCTTCAGTTACCTTGTGGAATAACTCAGACAGAGGTTTGTAGACAGCGCTTGAATAAGTGCATTAGATGATTGAGAATGATGATTTGAGACTTACTAAGGTAGGTCTCAAATAAAATTTTGAATGTTATTTTACTGTCGGCTTGGAAGTGCTGTGAGCTTCTATAACCTCACAGCTTCTATCGTGAAAACTTTATATCTATACATAGTCCAAATTTGCCGATCGCGCCTTTTTATAGCTTACCAATTTCCCACTCTCAATGCAGATCTAGCCCATAATTCGGTTTTAAACATTCATATAATTTATCTATATAAATGCACCCTGTAGTGCTGGGTGTGAGACGTAAACTCAGCACGGCATATCAATGTTTATTTTACTTCGTAAAGCTTTGAGTAAATTATTATTATTATTATTATTATTATTATTATTATTATTATTACTATTATTATATCCTTCTATGGTTGTGATTGCACTGAACTTGACGATGTTCGAAATTGGTTTTCTCTTGTGAAAATGATAGAATTGCCCGAAAGGGCTAGATTGAAACATCAAGTTGTAGGTATATTGATCTCTGTTTTCCATTTTTATCTAGTATCGAATGGACTGTTGTTTCACCTCGTGTCTTTGGAAATACACCTCAAATTATTGATCAACACTTGTGTTAATGGTCGACACAAATAACTGTGCACAACATTTATCACTCAATTAGGTATTTTATTCACACGCTATTAGATGAAAAATGAATATCGATGAAGGTACAATCCGGTTTGGATTCTGTAATTGCACGTGATATGCTACAGTACGCTCACACTGCACGACAATAAGCATCTATTTGTATCTGCAAATACAGGATAGCAGCACAGAAAGAAGAATTCGCAGAACTGCATCAATTCGTATTCGATGGAAAAACAGTACGAGAATCGGATTGTTTGTACACATCCGGATAAAAAATAACAGCTTATGAATTCCTAGCCTGTCCGTTTACCCATTATTTGTTGTACAAATAAGCAGATTCAACAGACTCGAATCAGATCATATATGTTCTCATAAAAGAAAACAAAGGGCACATGTTGTGCATCTAAAAGTGATGTTGTGGCAAAATAATCCAGGCGGTGGTGGCCCGGTGGTAACTGATTATCACCTCGGAGGACGTGTGTTCAAATCCCCCCACCACCGCCTGTCTTTCCCCATGATGTGTTAAATGGCAGCCCTTCGATTGGCCGCTTTCTCCTTTCTGAAAATTGTATCTTCCTATATTCATTAAAAGGAAGTAAACATGAAAATGAAATGAAATGAAAATAGTGTAGTTCAACAAGAGGAAGCAATTTATGTCTTTGCTTGTTGTAGAGCTGACTACGAAATATCGGTTGATGAAAAAACAGATGTTTATAGATGAATGTCTGAACTCTTGAAATTAGGGCCAATCCATTTATAGTATTCGAAACTAACGTGTTTATTTTATATTTGATTAGGAAAATAACCGCTGAGTGCAGAAAGTTTGGTTCCTCTCTTTCTTTCTTCATCTGACCGATTTTCGAACTCCCTCGTAAGAAACTTACTAAATGTTCATTTATTTGAAAAATGAACGTTCAATAGATTTGTCACAGAAGTATTTTTAGTGCGCAGATTCACTTATCCGGTCCTAGTAAGTTACACTATGTTACACTATACTCGAATTATGCTTCGCAAGGCGGCCAGGTGTTACGATTGTAAACGATTGTCTTCAACTGCAACTGCGATATCCATATGATCCTTTGAGCAGAGCAGAACTCATTTAGATCCGACCTAACGGGAATTAATAAAAGTGGAAAGCACTATTTAGATTGATGCTTTTTAAGTATTGCCAGTCTACGTGACAAATATTGTGACTAGCAGACTGGAGTGAATCACATCGTAATCCACTTGCGGGTTATGCATTGTTGCTTTACTGGCACACTACGTCTCACTTGCAAACTTACAAAACGTATTGTTGGAATAAGGTATATTTTTTGAAATTGTAATTACTGATGTCTGCTGGAGGGAAATGGTTCGAGACATGAAGCTGTTATCGATTTTAACCTCAACTTTCCACTTTGGTACAGTCTTCTTGGTTTGGATAGATCGATTATTTGCATGTATGTTCTGGGATGTGTGGATTTTAATTCTTTGGACTTCATAATAAGAAATTTATTAAAATCTTTCCAAGAATTCCTGTGAATGCTATCCAAATAAATCGCGCGCACCCTATAGTGTTTAATTTATTATGGATAACCCCACCAAACTCCTACATTTCCAATATAAGTGTTACATTCTTCGTCTTCATCAGAAGCACTTTTCTTCAAAGAATAGATGTGTATTATTTAAGTTTTAATTTTGTCTATAGAAGTTGCGTATAACACAAAATTTGAGAAAAATTCTATGGAAACAAAATTATCTTAGGACAAATCAGTAAGGGTCAACTACACCGCAATATGTTTAAATCTTGAAAAGATTCTAAATCATAGAGAGAAGAAAACTGTGAGAGGAAACGTTGGCACACAAACAGTGCCGTTAACCGTTGTGCATACAGCTTTGATCCGTTTGAAGAGAATTCACAACTCGCTTGAAATTCCCTTGAGTGAATGTCTGGTGACCCGTGATAATCATGTGCACTACAAATTCATTCCCTCCAACCCCTCCTGCGGTGTACTTTGTGAAAAGTGCTCGAAGACGAATTAATTAGAAACAAAGCCTGGTGTGGATTCAGTCAATGCTTTTAATGATGGGAAACATGCTGTTTAGCAGTCAAGTGTACATGATGGTAGTTCCCTTAACCAGTTCATTTTACGTATTCCAGACAGAAAGTAAATAGGTTTGATCTACTAAAATGTAAACGTGCCCTACTTGTGTGATATTGCCATCACCTTAAACCCAACGGAATTTGCATTCGTTAGCATTATCCATTATTCAGTGGTATGGGGAAATCGGACATTTCAGCACATGGCATGACTCCTTCCGAGGAGAGAATTGTGCATCGTCGTCCATTTGGGAAGGGAATCCAATTATTCTAATCAAACACCCATCAAATGGGGTCAGACACCCGATTCGTTCAATGCACCTCGACACCCAATAAAACCAGTGACTACTACCACAAATGTGAAATTGTGGATGTTATTCGTACTGAGTTTCGCTATTGGCTTGAAATCAAGGAATTTAGTCAACTCCTAGTGATGAGCTACCAGTGGTTCAATAATCCGTTTATATCCCACATATCAGCTAAGCTTCTTCTCCGTTTGGTAGGTTAACTCCACCGCAACGTGAAGGCAGTCAGCGAAGCTTCTTTAACGAAGGTATTTTGGATGTTTCATATCACAAGAGGATTTTGTGAGGTTCTAGGGACATCTGAGCAGTCGCGACCCCCGGACATCAACAGTCGACCATGCTGAGAACTTCGGAGGTAATGCCATGAGATATAGATCGTTTTTCTGATACAAACATTAAGACGCAGATCTACTGATGCATAATAGAAATGGGAAAGCACCTATGTTATAACCAACTCCTGGCTGATGTGAGTGGTCAGCGGAATAAACAATGAAGGTTTTTTAGCAAAACATGAGGAATATGAAGAAGTATGCTCTATTTGTTACGACTCAGTCAACTGTACGGTTTATCTGCTGATGAGTCTATCATTACGTTTATGGGGAACCTGAGGCCATGTACCTCGACTGAACTGCCAGGGGGCTAAAATCTTTCATCTTCCGAACTTGAAACCATGTAGGGGTTTCCTCGATGATTTTTAGACGTACTTATTGACGCTCAGAACTCTGTCTGATCATTCATTGGACAGAGACATGATCACATCTATTTGAAGTCTGCTTGATTTTCAGCAAACTATCTACTCGAAGGTGTCATGTTTGTTTGCTCTGTCTTCTCTGCTTGTTTCAAATTTCCATAATAGGTGTGATTTTGTCTATTTTTAGCTTTGGATCCACTTCATTTGCAGAATGCATTTAGTAAACGTTCTCTGTCGCATCTTCCTAACCAACAAATAGTAGACTTGATAGAAGGAAATGCTCTGAACTGTGGTTGTCGTGAATTGGACATTAAGCTCATCCAACCTCGTCCTGAATTCTGGACACGCCTGGGTGAGCAGTCAATTTATGACCACATGGGGGATTCGGTCTGATCATCATTAAATGACCCGAACCAATTATAGTCTTTGGAAGATAGTAAGAGAGAAAAAAATGTGTATCATCTACGGGTCTCTGAGGGAAGATAATGTTTTTTTAATGATCTGCACTAACTGCTCCCGTATGATGAGAGAAGATCCGATAAACATAAACCGTTCATGTTTTACAAATATTTGCTTTCTAATGGTAAAAAAGAAGGCGATTCTAGATGAGCGAATGAAGGCTAGCGGTGCACTAACCGGTATATTTTCTCAGATGTCAATGAAACTTTTTATGTGAATTTTAGGGTTTATGGTTAATGAAAATGACTGAAACGACTCTTACTCTGTTACGCGTTCACCCCACGAAAGTGCATGTTAAATGGTTATACTAATAGAACCCAAACTTTATTTCCACTGAGAGAGAACGACAACGAGAGCTCACTCAGCAACACATAAAACATGCAGTCTGTCATACGAATACGGTAAGGAGCTGATGCCAAAATTAATTAAGGTAACTTGGGTCTACAATGGCTAAATCTTAATATTTAATTTATATTAATATTAATATTATTATTAATATTTAATTTTATTCGAGGATGAGTTTCCTTTTGCAAAGAGCAAAGAAAAGGGGATTGAAACACACAAAATTGGATGGCGCAACTTGATTAACATCTCTTCGCTAAATGCAAAAAGCCTGAGATT